ACTGAGTGACAGTCGAATAAATTTTATCAGACACCAGCTGCCATCGATCGACCTGTTCATGATGAACAACAACACGTGACAGACGTGACCAAAGGTAGGTGCTTCTTCGGGCGGGGCATATGTACTAAGGGAGCTGCCAATAGTTGGCACTGCCACGGACAGCAACAACTATGCGGACTATCGATCCAGTGATTAGACGACGGATGGGTACATAGACAGAACGTCTTTACGTACGTTGCTCGACCCGGTTTCTTCCATTTTAACGTCAGTCATCCTAGTGCAAAGGCCAATGAATACGGCTGCGAAAAAACTGTGCCTGAAAGTTGAACCGTGTCACATCACCAGCAAATGACACAAATTCATGTGACACGCGGCATTAATTTTCTTCAGCAAAACAGCTTTGCATCGGCCTTTGTCGAACCTGGGATCACCTCACTACAGCAATTGGACCAAGTTCGCTGCATTGTCTGACGTTCGCAACGACTATGTGCAGAGGCAGTGCCGATCAGAGACTCCGCCCTCCCCGTTGCGATGACCAGTAATGCCAGCGACCCCAATCAAGGTCTTCCTCCGTCTTCGAGGTACGCTTATTGCTCAGCTAAGGTCTATTTTCGAATGAATGCGGAAAATGGCAACTCTTTTTTCTGATTCCCCCGCTAGCAGCACGACAACAACAGGAATAGCATTTATTTAATAATACCAGCGTTCGGACCCGTCTTCACCATCCTGTAGATCAGATAATTGCCATCAATGATCCATGACAAGACACTGATATGGATTGCAGAGCAACAAAATATTGTTCACATTCTTTCGATCAGTTTGGTGAACAGGCCGTCTTTCTCTAGATCTTCCAGATAGATTCCCTTAAAAGACATGTTGTCAGAACTGAGTCAAGTGATAAAGGGTAATAAATGTTCTTTAATTATGCAAAAATTTGCTGTCAGCGGCGTAAAAGTAAAAATAATATAAGGAAATTTAAATATACGAAATACAATAACCAGATGGTGTTTTCTTTAGCCGTGAAGATCTGACTTGAATCATGAAGCTGTAGCTAATTACGTAATGATAATCAAAGCTGACAGACTTCCCTATGAAGTAGAAGCATCTTTGTTCATGACAGCAGTTAGAACTAATAGTAGGGGTTAGGAAAGATCACCCAGTAATAACCTTCAAAGAATCTGATGAAATCATGTCATCAACGCAATATTCGAAATACAAGGGGTGATTGCAGATGAACTGGATACATCATCACAAAACCTTAAGTTTTACTCCTAATATGCATCTCAGAATTAAAATAAATGATAAACTGCCTCTCCAGAAGGTTTTGGCGATGAGGGAAATTTTTTGAAGTCTTAAACCCGAAGCAACCGATAGAAGATTGCTTGAACAACATAAAGTAACGGATATTAATATTTCAATAGGTAAAGTCGTAGATGCAATTAAAGGCTTCAGCAGTGGCAAGGTTGCTGGAATTGATGAATCCCCTCTGAGATACCTAAAGCTTAAGGGAAGAGGCATGTTGTGGCTAACACATGCCTTTCAAATTGTGAAGAACTTGGGAAAACACCAATGGTCTAAAGAACTGCGGTGGCGGTACCTCTGGTCAAGAAGGTAGATCATAGGAAGTGCTCAAATTAGCAGGCACTGCATTACTGAGTCTTCGGGAAAAAGTCCGAGCGAAGGTGTTGGAAACGAGTTGCCCTGAAGAGCTAGTTATAAGATCCAAGAAGAGCAGAATGGCATTCGGTCAGGCCGAAGCACCTGTGACCAGATTTTCGCCCTACATTAGACTGTTGAGAAATTGTTTGTATTCACTCATCCCGTTTAACTGTACCTTGTTGACCTGAAAGAAGCCGATCCTGCGCACCAAGCTATGGATGTGACTGTGTACGAACGGAATCGGCCACTACCAGTTGTTGCTTGCATTTAGTCACTATATATCGATAACAGGTGCTGCATCAGAGTAAATGGCTTTAAACTGAGGCTTTCAATGTTAGCCCTTTTCTCTGCTAAGGCTGCATTCTGTCCGTTCTCCTGTTCGTTTTGTACATGGATAGAATAGTCAGCGCGGTCAGCGTAAAAGATGTTTCAATGTAGAAAATACCGAGACGAGAAGTCAGCTGTTTGGAAATGACCTTGATTTGTTGAAGTCTTCTGGAACTGATCTCCAGCTTTGTGGTTTCAGCTAGCAACCAAGGAACGTGTTCGCCTAAAGTCAAAGGTCCAGTGCTTTTCGTTTCCTTTGCAACTGCGCTCTGCAGATAAACGGAAAGACAGTGAAACTGATGGAGAAGTTGA